TTACTCTGTGCTAAATAATGTACTTGTATAAGCATTATTGTAATGTAAGTCTCTCAATGACCCTGTGGGGTCAGTATGATTATTACCTACATTAAATATCTCTAGAAATTGAGATTTAGAGGTGAAGAATCTTGCCAGAAGTCTCGTATCTATAATAAATGGCAGAGTCAGGACACAAACCCAACTCTCTTGGCTCTGAAGCCCACACTCAACATAATCAGATAAGAATGTCTCCCATAGGACCAAATGGGTTATTTGGTTAAACCTTATGCATTGATTACAAAATATTCTGAAGACTCTGCCTTCCATCAAACTCTTATGTAATGCCAATCAGCTACATTCAGAAGCCATACAGACAAACCAAAAAAATCTAGGTAACTGTTTCCTAAAATCATTAGGACAGGGTTTCTCAACCTGAGCTCTGTTGACACTTTGGACTAGACAATACTCTGTTGTGGGGGATGGAAGGCTGCTGTTCTGTACATTGTAGGATGTTTAGCAACATCTCTGGTCTCCAGATGACAATAGCACACACCTCCTCTAGTTGTGATGAATAAAAATGTCCCCAGACCGTGAAATTCCTTGCAGGTCAAAGTCATTCCCAGCTGAAAACCGCTGATTTACATGAAACTCATTCTGGTAAGGTCTACATAATCACCAACAAAGAATACAAGTGAGCTAGTCATTTGGATATGTCAGCTCTACAAAGCCTTTTCCTGAAATCTCCTAGTAATTCTAAGGAAAATAGTTTGGAATAAGCTTGTCCTATTCCTTCTTTACTGTGTATCTTGCTTCTGGCTGCATTATCTTTGCTTGCAATTTCAGTTTGAGAAATACAGATTAAATTGTGAGTGTCAAGGATGATATTGCCTTACATTAAATAAGCATAGTTCTGATTATCCACAAATTACAATAAATAAATGTGAGAAGGGCATCCTATGATAGTCTTCACCATTTCAAAGGCTATTTTTAATATAAAGTGCAAAGTTCATTATCATTTTAACAAGATAAAAAATAACTTTATAGTAATTTATAAGTTGGTTTCTCAAAATCTCATTTTTATTTATTTTTAAATATAACATTATATTATCTACTTTTCTTTTGGATTTTTAAAGGGTTCTACCACATTACTGTGTATTAAAACAAATTGATTTTTAAAATATTTTTCAATTATCCCTCTGCAAAGTATTGTAAATGTATATAGGCTGCGTTATCATTGTAATGCTCACTAGTGCCATTATAATTATGAGCTGTTAATTTTTCTCAGAACATTTATGCTCAAAAGTTTAAAGTTAGTGGCCTATAACCAGAGTTATTGTGAAAGCTAATCATTAGGGAATTATTCTTAGGTTTGGAATGTCTGCAAGACCAACAGAATCACACCTACATAAAATACATTTTTTTGCACTTATGTCTTTCCTTTAAATTTCCTGAATAGCTTGACTAAAATAGGAGAAGATATTTGAGAAAGCAATTATGTTCCAACCCACAGAGTTGTTGACAAGGTTAAATTCAATAACATGAAAAAACTAGGGATCATTTGATATTCAAAGATCTGGGCAGGATTAATAGTGATAACTACTATTTCTATATTCTTCATTGTAGGTAGAGCACTTTACTTAAATTTGTGCAATTAATTCATCATAATCGCTCAATGAGGCTAATAGTGTTACAACCTGTTCCCCATTTTAAAAATGAGGAAACAAAGGCAGGGGAATATTAAATTAACTTGCCCAAGGTCACATAGCTAGTAAGTGACCAAGCTTGGGTTCAAATTTGGACAATCTTGTGCAAGGGTCTGCACTTGTAACCATACCACAACTCACTGGAAACCACAATGAAACAATTTCTTGATGTTTAACCACATCACAGATTAAAGTTGTCTCATGTAATGGAATAGGGGTGCTTGAGTTCCAAAAAATCAGGTGTATATATATTTTTTACTCTTTCCACTTTCCTGTTATGTGACAATGAAAGGAAAAACACTCTGTTGAGCAACATAAAAGAATACATATTGCCTTGTATAATTGTTATGAGGATTAAATAGCATATCTAGTGCTTGGCACAGTGCCTGATGTACTCCATAAATTGTAGTTATTAGAGAAGATATGAGCCTGCACCAAGACTTTTGCTTAGTTCCCCTTCTGATTGAAGGTACATATTATTCAAACAAGATTAGAACTGGTAAAAATCTATATTTTTTTCCTCTTTTCTGTGAAGTTAAAGGAAATGAAAGCAAGACAATGGCATAACACATTTTAGAATTACATTTTAACCAACTGAGATAAGTTAATATGGAAGTGGGCAAAGGAGGGGGAAATGGGGGACATCTGTAAGAGTGGTAACAATAAAAAATTAGGGAAAAAAGTTTTTCAAAAAGAAGATTGTCTAATTTACAAATAGTTGAAAATTTTAAATCAAAATTTAAAAGTTTTTCTTCTTTGGTTGTACAAGCACATTATGAACTAAAAAATATTCTTTCAGATGCTCCTGTCTTCTTATGTTCTTCTAAGCTCCACTCATTAATAAAAATAATGACTAAATGCTGGCTCAGGACTAGGATTAATATTTCTTAAATATTAAAAGTGACACATATTTCTAAATTGTAGAATGTTCCTGCTTTGTAGTAATACACCTTCAGTGTATCCAAGCTCCAAACAAACTGATTAGCTTTAGCATATCACCATATATCAACATATATCTATTCAAAAATAGAAGTTAACTTATATTCTAACCCTCTACTAAAATAGCATGGCAAAAATATAAGTAGAAATAGTTAAATGTGTTTCTTTCTTCATCCAATGAGGATGAAAATCCTGGGAGAAAACTGTGTGCAAATAAGTACAATATTTTTCATGATTAACTTTATCTTATATTTTCTACCTGCGATCTCACCTACCATTATTGACATTTAATTTAGTGTATCTATCTAAAATGCTCTGAAAATTCCATAAAAGACAATATAATAACACTCCTAAAAAACCTTCAATGCCTTTTGAAGGGAAATTTTAAAAGTAAAATTAACATCCTTTAGTCATGAAAGTATGTTTGAGACAAATTATTGAACTGAAACATAACAATGTCAATAATCAGAGTAAAAACTAAAAATTGTATATAGTTACTCAGATATTTTCTAAGTCTGTATATTTTGTGCTCATACCTATGAATGAATTTTTCAGTCTTCACCTTGGTATTTGTCAGCATGCCAATAATGTGTACTATTAAATGATAGCAGAGGCCTGTGTCTATCTATGGAAGTAACGTACAAAACTGGGGAAGTACTTGGATTATTCAAATACCACCACCTCCGTTCTTCAAGTAATCTCAATATTCCCTTTAAATAAATGAACATTGGAGAGTTTGATTTGTCTTTGAACATAGCCCACAGCCAAAATATTTTCATGTGATAGCAGAGGTCTAGGGGGTGCAATAAAAATAGCGAGGTTATGTATTTTGTCAAGCACAGTGTAAATGACTAGGGAAAGCTTTTCTCTTAAAAGAAGTGGTTATGTAGAAAGTGTTCCAGCCACAGTCTTCTCCTAAGAGGCCTTGGAGGATCTGTCCAGAGTGCTGAAAAGGTTCCCTCTGGAGGAGGCTGGAGACTTTGTGCCATGTGCACTAACCTGGTGAGTTCAGGGAGCAGAATTTTCAAGACCCCAATCAAAGCTCCTTTTAAACAGAAATGACATCCATAAAGGACAGAAATTGTCACAACTGATTCTTAACTGTGCAACTACATAGATATAAAGGGGAAACTAAAGAAGAAAATTTCCTGTGCGTCATGAGGTAAATGACTACAAAGCACACCTAGCAAGAGGCAGCATGCCCAAACACTCCAATACTCAAAAGAATGTCTAGAATGTTGTATAACTGAGAAGATTCCACAGAAAACCTCAACTTATTCCCACTGGGTGAAGGGGCTGCTCATAGTACGAGGCAATGCTCACTTGGCTGCCTCACATGGCCAGCGGCCAACATTAAGGATACAGATTAGCTCTGGCTCAGTCTCTAGGGACTCGAAACAATAAAGCAACACGTAGGGAATGAAGGAGAAGGTGGAAGGGAGACTCTGCCTTCCCACTGGCCTGTGTTGATTTCTTAGTGGGAGGTAAAGTGTTGGAGACTCTACCTGCCTGGCTCCTCAAGCCTACAGTTCAGCTGCGGCAGAACCAAAACTGCACCTAAATAAGCATGAACGCCTGTTAACCTCTCCTTGATGCCCCTCCTCACAGCACCTGCTCCCGAGTGAAATCGGGGCTGCCAGAAATTCCAGCACCAGTCTCAAAAGCCCTCTAGGCAGTCTCTTCAAGTCCCTTTGGGAGGTCCCAAGTACAGCCTTAGGCTCTGGTCACCGGCTAGCTCGTGGGACTGCCCCGGGCTGGGTTCCTTACCCAAGTCACTGTAGCCTGGGCTCCCTCTTCACCATGCTGCTGCTGCTGCTGCTCCAGGGTAACCAGCAGGCTTTGTGTCCGAAGGGAAAGATACGTGCACGGGGAAGGAAAAAGCGGGAGGGTGCAGACTGAGATTTGGAAAGAGGTTCGATAGCCTGTTTGAAAAAGCTGTGCTTTCAGCACCACCCGCTGTCCCCACTCTTCCGCAGCAGGCGCCCGTGTTGGGGCAGCTAACCGAGCTACTGGGAAGCGACGCTCCTTCCTTTCCCTCTCTACCTGTGCTTCTCTCAATCCCGATCCCTCGGTGGTTTGGCGAAGCTCAGCCTGCGTCTAAACGTGCGCACCTGGCCTTAGGGAGCGGGAACTCGGGTCTGAAAGCATGCAGATCCCTTTCTCAGCCTTTGCAGCCGTTCCCTCCTTGACCCTATTGCTCTCACCTTTTCTCCCAACAGGTCGCCTGCAAAAGGAGCCGACTTCAGTCTCAAGGTCTGGCCACCCCTGCTCTACCCTCCCCCCACCCCAAACCAAACTGTGATTTACCCAGCAAGCCGATAGCGGCTACATCCCGCCCCGGGGACTCTTGGGCGCACGGACACTTAGCAAGCTTACCCCCCTGTTGGCCGAGCAGCAGGAAGTGAGATGCGGTCTAGCTAGCCCCCCATAAAGTTGGGCCTTGTGGATCAGCGGGGCAGAGCTGGCCTCTCCAGTCCAGGGTTTCCCCCCAAGATGATCTTAAGCTCATCTCCTGAGCTCAGTGAGCGCGCAGAACAGCAGCGCTGAGGGCGGCGTGTGCAGCAATGTCCCCGCTACTGAGAAAGGGGAGAAGGGGGAAGGGGAGAGTGCGGAGGAGGGAGGGGTGGTAGTTTGTATTTATAGAGAACAGAGTTCTCAGCACAACTTTTTGGTGCCACCAAGTGGCACAGTGAGTTCCTTTAGGAACACAGACTTTGGGTTGAATCTGGATAAGGTAAACCAGTTCCACTACCAGATGCTCACATGGTGGGGGACTTGGGGGGGACACCTCTAGGACTTGAGATTTCCCATGTGCACCTTCATATCTCAGCACCTGAGGTGCAGATCCCTAAGTTCTAAGACTGAGCTTGTATTGAGGTGGAAGGGCTACCTGTGCCCTCTTCAGACAAGTGCCAGAGGTGTTAGGAATACTGAACAGATGCCATTTGTGGCCTAGGAGTCTAGCGACCCTTGTCTCAAGGTTATCCATTCCCTTCTCCCTCCTATCTCCTCTGCCCAGATTACAGTCTTCCCAGATCTATTTGTAAAATCTTCTTCCTCCATCCTTAGTGCCCAACCTTTAAAGTGGGGTGCCACTGATTTCCCTTGTGTTAGAATATATTCCAATTTATTTCCCAAACCCTCAAATTTAAAGAACTTCACAGCTTGCTACCAAACCTCCTTCTTTAATTGCTACCTTAAAAAAAAAAAAAAAAAAAGAAAGAAAAGCATGTGACTTTCGGCTGTGTGGATCTGAACCTCTCAGAACAGCACTCTGAACTCCAGGGTCCTTTGGCTATCTGCTAGGTGTCTGATTGTCCTGCTCACCCATTTCTACAGACCTCCCATCATGCATTACACCAACTGCACAGGCAGGAGCTTGCAAATGCCTTTGATACTGTGAGGGAAAATGCCCTGAAGCTCCCATTATCTGGATTTTCTGGGTGCTCTTCTTTCCTTGTATACAGATCCTCAAACCCATACAGTCACAGGCAGGCACTACTGCATGGGACTTCAAAACCCATGTGGTCACAGGCAGACACGACTGCATGGGACCTGAGTGTCCCAGAACACGGAAGAACATTGACATTTTGCAGATGGAGAAATGGAAACACAAAGGTTAAGGAGCTTGTTCAAGGTCACACATTTCCCTAGAGACCAACCCAGGGACTACCCAGGGTGGAATTGAATGATTACAGTGATACCAAATCTGACTTCCAGGCTCCTGCTCCTTCCTCCCCACACAGCCCATTCAGTCATGTTCGGCTCCCTTCTCTTACCTCTCTCCCCACCTCCCTCTCTCTGACCCCACCCTTTGCCAAAGTTCCATAAAGGAACCCAGAGTAAGGACGTCTTTCTAGTCCCACTTGCAGTACATGAACTTGAGCTTGTAGGGCCAGAGTTGCATGTGCACCCCCTTAAAATGGCCCCGTTCTAGAAAACCTCTCCCTCCCAGAATGTACTCACAGAAGTGTCATTTTGGAAATGGAACACTGGCATTCACACCCTACAAGGTCCCCTTTCTGCTGCCTCGTTCCCGGGTGAAACAACAGCAAATGCGTTTACAGCCCCCCAAACACCTAATGTCCTCCGAGATAGAAAAGCCCCCTCCCTTGATAAAAGCACCCCTTTGTGCACATGTATCGGTATGAGAGTGAGAGAGAGAGAGGCGTCCAAATGCCTCCTTTGGTTCAGATCTCTATTTTTTTCCCCTCATGGGATATTTTTTTAGTTCGTTTTCTATGGAAACGAGACCACTCTAATCCCTCACTCATGCAAATAAAAAGCGAAATGAGCTTCATAAACCTCTCATTGGAGCGAAGCCGCGGTAGCCTGGGATCCAGACTAGAAATTCATGTCTGATCCACACAGCACACGTCCTTGCAGGGTGACTTTTCTAAACTTGCAGGACCTCGTAGCGTCCCTGGCTCCACCAGTTCTCCACCTGCCCACCACCTGCCCTCCTGGGTCCCTGCGCCCAAGCTCCCCCCACCCCCGCCCGAACGCTTTCCAGCCGGTGCTGGGGGAGGGGCTCCGGCGGTACCCGACATCCGTGGTGACTCGAGAGCTGGAAGAAAAGAGAGACCGCGCTGTGCTTACCAGATGCGCGCCCTGAGCCGGCGCCCGCAGCCGGCCGCTCCTCGCGGGCTTCCTGCGCTGCTTTAGCGGCCTTG